ACAGTCAGTATTAAAATGGTCTCCATAACACAATTCATATCAATCGTTTTTTACTATACTCTCTATCTATGTATCAATCCATCTGATTGTTGATTAATCTACTATAAATATTGAACGAAATAATACAAATCTTAACTACTTCCAAAATCAATAGTTTACTACATAACTCATTTCAAATAAGTATATTCTCATTCAAACCATGTAAATCGAATAAAAACAATGAATGGAATATAATGTCCTTTCTATTATCATTATTCAAATTAGTATAGATAACTATTTTTTGAGACTATCCGTTCATACACTTGATAGTCTCAATTCAATCATTCAGAATTTAGTGATTTGTCCAGTATAACACATTTTTATTTTGAACACTGAACTATACTGGATAGTATTAGTTTGGCTTTTTCATTTTTCATAAATTCTTTATTTTCATTCTTAACATCGTTACAAGAAGGATTGGAACATGCTAGCTAAACCAATCTGGGTTGTGATGATGGAAAAGAGTCAATCGATGATTGGATCCTAAATCAATGACCAAAGAATAATGGTAAGGGGTTTGGAACAAACAAAGAAACAAACAAAGTAAGCATTGAATATACAATGATCATTGAATGGATTGGAATGGAATGGAGTGATTTGTGTAGATCCAATGCTGGAATTACTCATCGATTTCGACAAGATCAGCGAGAATGGAGGAAACATCTATAAATCAAATCAAATTAATCAAACTATACTCGAAATTGATTTCGATCGAACTTTCTGGAATGAATAAGGTAGCTTGACATTTTGAAGATTTGGAATATCTAAATACTATCAATATTCAATATTCAGAAATACTTTCCAATGTCACTACACGAGGATATTGGAAACTCCATTTTACCGAAGTTATTGATGTTAGATTTGGAAGATCTACAAAGCAAATCATAACCAATCAATTCATTATTACTTCGAAGTGTCAATGAGCATGAATCAACATTTATTCCATGAAGTACACACCAACCGAGTCGAATGGATTGTAATGATGGAAGATCTACATCAATCATTTCATTCGAATTCATTCAATACTTTCAATTATTGTCGATAGGGAACCAGCGAATGCAAAATCACCTAATGTAATGGATTGTAGATTTGGAAGATCTATGCATCATTCAAATATTCAATATCATATCGATACCTCGAATCTCAAATGAACTATACAAGAAATTGCTTGAATCATTTCCAATTGTCCCAATTTGAATGGATTGTAATTGTGGTAGATTGCTCAATTCAAAGTCTCCAGCAAAATCACTGAAACTGTATTCACCAATTTGAATGGATTTCAATGATCCACAATTCAATATGTGGAATGATTTCGATTCACTATCGCCATTTTCATTTTCATTTTCCTCTTCATCATTCTTTCTCTGAGTGAATGAATTGTTTCCGATTTTGATAGATTTCAATCGATTCAATCCATCGATTTTGAATGTTTGCACTGATCCAAAGCATTCATTGCCGATTTCGATAGATCGTAGCCACTCGAATCGATTCAGATCCAATGCATTCAAATCGTTACAGCAATTCGATGAAATCGTCAAATCGGTCACTTGCAAACTCACATCGGTCCATTTTGTAGATCCAGTGACGCTGAATCGAAGAGGAGCAGGTTCTTCGCGTTTTGGAGCAGGTTCTTCGCGTTTTGGAGCAGGTTCTTCGCGTTTTGGAGCAGGAGCAGGAGCAGGAGCAGGCACAGGCATCGGAGCGGGTTTGGGTTTGGGTTTGGGTTTGGGTTTGGGTTTTGGAGTTGTGGATCGAGTGTACCATCCATCATAGAGATCTCTTCCACTCACTTCCACTCCATCTTTCCATTCCACTTCGCGAGTAGCAATCCGAGTTTCTTCATCGATCCAGTATCCTCGACCATTTCGAATAAACGATTCTTTCGATTCATCATAAATGAATTCACCCACATAAAAGGGAACTCGATTAGAGGCGGTTGTGTTATTTCCATTTCGTTTAAACTCGATCATAATGGTCCCTTCGATTTTACGGATGATCTCCACCAATTTGTTACCCTTCCATATTCCTTCCAACAACATTCTTCCCGATGTCTCATCGTATTGGATACCCCATCCTTCTCTCTCACGTCTCTCATTGAATTCTCCATGATACATCAATTTGTCACTGTCATGAGAATAGATTTCCATCCGTTTCCCGTTCACATGGTTTACTATCCGGTTGAAATTGCGGTTATCCAATATGTCATCAAATGACTGGACAAAGGAAACACAACCATTCTCAAACCTCGTGAACTCTCCGATTTGAGCTCCGTCCGCTTCTTCTTCATATATCATCTTGAGTACTCCATTCTGGAATAAGCAGACTTTCTGATCTTTCTTCAAAAGATATTCGTCTTCGTGATCCCCTTCAAAGCATTGGAGAGTGTATTTGGAGCCACCAAAAGTGATCTCCTTTTGCTCACCAAGAGTAATGTAGCCATCCAGGAGAAACTCGCCTCCCTTAAGAGTTTGCAGTCCATCTAATTTTTATCACATATTCGTTGTTCCTACTGTTAGAATCCATGATTTGGGATGTCAATTAAAAGTATTTTGATTAACAAGCTTTCCAGTTTGTTATAGTTCGTTAACTATTTATATGATGCTTTTAACAAAGCGTTGTTATATGCAATACATATCATACATAGAAAGAGCCTGCTTATTAAACAATGTGTCCCTTTTTGTGTAGGGTCGTGGAAATAGTGGTTATTGGAAAGTAATAAGAAGATGATCGTCTTACATAGTATTTGAACGGATCATATGATTTAGTAGTGAATTTGCAGTAAAATGGCTTTAATTTGTTTCATACCCCTATTTTTATTATATCATTTAAATCCTTATAATAATTACATATATATATATCTTTATTCCTTCAATTGTATAGTAGTTTACAAATTGGTATGATATCAATCCCTTTTTCCAAATGCCATTTTGCCTTTCCATTCCATCCATTGCAAGCCATAGTTTTTAATAAAGTCCCTAATCTATCCATCAGCCATAAGTGGAGTTCAAAATCATTTACAAACATCTAAAACAAACCTATCATCATCAATGTCACAAATACCAAATAATAGATAAATATCATTTAGAATTCAGAACCTTTCCGGCTATTTCATACAAAACTAACTCAAGGAATTCTCTTCATATATATACACGGTTAACAATAATACAAATAATCAAAAACTCAGAATCCTACTATGACGTGATCTATTGGGCAAGCTTATCCTAGCTTGAACACTCCATATTTCTTAGTTTTACTGTCGTTCTATTTTGCTATTAGTACAAAAAAAACAACGAATTCGACCAACATCCATATTTCTTAGTTTAACTCATTTTACATTAAAAAAATAGCTACTATGTATATGATCATTGACTTATAAAAACGAGCACGCTATTGTGATAAACAATAGAATGATGAACTCTAGTTATAACCTTACCATTTTCATTTGATTGCTCAAAATATCCTATTATGGAATTACTATTAGACTATAAGGGTGATTCACATCCGGATAAGCTTGTTGAAGATAACTCAAGCTATCAAAGGCTTCTCACAAACTAAAGCAATCCCTGTAATGCTCTCTGTTGTTATTATGATTCCATTGCACGATTCAAACACTTCTATCCCTCAAAAACCTTGATTCAACTTATTTCCTCAACAATCACTTCCTACCAACCTTCACTTCGATCACACAGATTATTCCACTTTGCCAGTTCATTCAAATGCTGAAATTAGTTCAAAATGATGCTGGGAGTTTCACACTTTTTCCTTGTTTAGGAAAGATGGATTACGAGTTCGAATGTAGTGTCCCTAATGGAGGACTGGGACCGTTTGTACACAGCATACTCCCAGATTCCCTGCATATTGATCCTAGTACTGTTCCTACTTCTCCTTCTCCATTATTGACTCAAAAAACGATATGGGCATTCGATTATAGCGCTTCCTATGACAACCATATGGAACAACTCCACTCTGAAGAGGAGGAATATGTGGAAGACTTTTCTGATGAAGATTCTGTGGATGAAATACATCCTGCCGAGGAAATTGAGGAAATTGACTCTGTAGAGCAGGAAGACGATTTCTCTGAAAGAAATCAGGGGAATTTTAATCAGTTGCTTTATAGAGTCTATACGAGTAGCATTTTCGTGGATGCTTCCCTGCTTTCAAGGAATGGAAGAAGTGGAAGAACGAATTGGGAACTTTTCCGCAGGTTTTTGCAGTTAGTAGAAGCGAACAAGAAGAGGGCTTGCGCTTCTTCAAGGTTTTTGGCTAATTTACATACTGTACGTTTTTTGAGTTGGCTGTGAAATAGAATATGTATTTCTCAGTGGATAAGTGCCCTATCTGCTTGGAAGACTTCCTTTTCAATTCCTTTTCGGCTGAGCTTCCTTGTATCTTTCACATTTGTGTGTGAGATGTAGGTGGGCATCGCTACCACACTTGCTGTATTAAGCAATGGTTGGAAATAGACATTCGGTGTCCGGTGTGTAAGATCAGTGTTGAATGATCAGGGCTTTATTCGTTTGCTTTTATGAATAACGAATTATGCTGGATTGGATTGGATTGGATGTGGTTGCGTGTCTGTGTTTTTAATCTTTTTTCACTTTCTTTGTTTTGTATTTTTGTTCTTCCTTTACTTTTGCTACTGTTTGCTGTATACCTTTATGTTATGTGACACTTTCTACGCCCTTTTCTCGTTTCTATATAGCCACTTTTCCATTCTTTTCCGAGTCTTATCTCGATAATTGCTTCGAGTGCATCATTCCACAGCCTCCTTCTGCTTCTTTGTTTTTGTTTCAACTTAATACTCTCTTATTACAATGTGATATCCTATCTACCACAGCGCATAATCTTTCTTGATTCTCGATTCTAGTTTTGTATCGATCTCTCCTTTATAAGATCATCGCTCCACATTTGATTTAACCTTTGTAAATCCAGATTAGCGGAATTCTATCTAACAAACATTATACGACTTTCCCTCTTCTTCTTCCTCTTCTTCTTTTTGCTTTATCGCATAGCGATCGCGAAATGCATTTTCAAGGGTTAATCCACGCTCCACAATTCCCGGTATTCCCCGAAATACGCTCAAAAGACATCCAATATCGCCAATAATTCTACAGTCTATCTGATGCTGCGCTCCTACCTCTCTCGCCCTGTAAGCGAAATGCTTTGTGGATCCACAGTTTCGAACCGAGAAACGAAAAACAAAGATAATTCGGAGAGAATCCGAGAGAAAATGGTCTACTCTTAGTACGCTTTGAATCCTTCTACTTGAATTTGATCGTCTGGAAGAATGGGCTTGAGCTGAGATAAGAGAACTTCGATCTTTTTGATCAGCTGGTCCATGTACGGACTTGGAGGAGGAACGGCCTCGCTCCAATCCACTGACTAATATCATCATTCATCGCACAGTTCAAACTACTTCGAGATTGCTGCAGCTCTTCTCTGCAACCGATTTGATTATCTCGGGGAACTTCTCAAACAGCTGGCTGCGGTGATCAGCGAACAGCTCGATCATTCCTTGGGAGAGTTGCATCAGCACGGGGTGCTGCTTGGAAGGAAGATACAGCACCAAAGACGTTTGAGCGACCGTCACCAGACTCATTGCTGCGCTCAGACACTGCGTTACGAGCGCGATGTGGCGAGCACTAATCCGCTTGAGAAAGCCTTGAGAAACAGCGCCCGCGTTGAGAACCAGGGAGCGAGACGAGGTGTTAAACGTCCGGAATAGTTCCAGAATTCGATGCATGACCTCAGGACCGAGTCCTTGGAAAGAACGTGCATAGAGAAGGTAATGCAGCAGCATCTTCACAAACTCCAGCATCGAATGAGTCACACAAAAGGACTGGGATCCGATCAAGAGACGCGGATGAGCGGAGATTACGTCGGTTGTTGACGTGCGAACAAGCAGCGCCGCCGTCTAGAAATCACACTCTGAAGAGATGTCGACACGTGGGTTTTCCTGCAAGTGGGTTAGTTCGTTTTGCAAGGCGCTTGGAACGAGCGCAGGCTTCCAAAGTTCCTCATGGAGAAGATTCTGCAGCATGAGTAGCTGGCTTTTGTGCAGATATTCGAGAGAATCGCGTGCCTGGTGCAAGAGAGTGTGCAGCAACAGCATTCCCTTCGTGTTGTAAATCCGTCCTGCCACGCTCACGAAGTCCATGCAATGATCCCACACCTGCTTCAACTCATCGATCTGTAGTTGCGAGTGGATCTCACTTCGCGCATCCAGCATCGTGCTGATGTGCTGCTGCATCCGACTCCACGTGCTTGTGTGGAGCGTCTGCAAATGCTGCTGCAAGGCTGTTCGTTCAGCGTCCGTGATGGCGAGAACGTCTTCCACTCCCAAAATATCATCAACAGAACTCGATTTTGTGTTGTCTTGTTTGGTGGGAATCGTGGCAAGAATGTTCAAACACACTGCTACAACGCGACGACTCCGCTGAGCAGACTTCAGGAACTGCTCGCAGAGAACGTCCAGCGTGGTTACGAAATCTTTATGGGGCAACTGGCGAAGAATGACCGGGTTTGTGAGACTTTCAGGTCCAAGACAGATGGTCATGACCGTACTCACGATCTCTTGGAGCTGCAGCTCCGCCTTCTCTTTGTATTGTTCCAGCGATTTCAGAAGCCATTTGAGATTGAGCAGCGCGTAGAAGATGGGGCGAAGACGATCTTCCAATGAATTGGATGGCTCGCGATTGGCAATTTCATTCTCACTCTCATCATCGGCTTCAGCTTCGGCTTCAGCTTCGGCTTCGGCTTCGGCTTCCTCCTTTCTTCTCTTCTTCTCCTTCTCTTTAGCTTGCTCCTCTCGCTCTCTCTTCTTTTCCTCCTCTTCATCACTTAAACACAACGTAATGAAATGGTTCGCCAGTTTCTTACAAAGCAAATCTTGCGTGCTATCCAGAATCGCCACAACGCCACTCAGCGCTTTCACACCTCCCAAATCGCCTCGAAGGAACGATTTGCACTTCTGAATGCACACAAACGACTCTTCAAATCGGTTCTGATTCAAATAACTCCGAGCTTGATTCAACGTGCTTCGGATCGATGCGATCTGATCCGTCTATCGTTCAAAGCAAATCAAAACAGCACGATCTTTTGCACCTTTCGAAGATTCTGAATACGACGTAAATAGACAGGAATTAGAAGAGGAGGAATTGTATGCCGCGACTGGATCGCTTGCATAGAGCCTCTGCAATCAAATACAAACCGTTAGCTCTACGATAAGCCATGAATCGCCTGCAAAGTTTCTGAAACATGAACTTGAAACTCCTGAAGCTGCTTGATCGCTGCGAACAGCGAGTCGGATTGAATAGAGATTTGCTCGTTCAGGCAGACCTCCACAAGGTCTAGATACCCGGTGAGCTACCAGAAGAGGTAATATATATAACTACTTTGTAACTCACTACTTTGAAATGCTCATTGGGATCCAACACAACGCTGAACATCACCGGATCTGACAAATCGAAATCGCTATCAAAGAAAATCTGGAGAATACAATAGAAACCTCAACTACCTGAGGAACAGAGTCAAAACAAATGCGCAGCTCCACTTCACAGTCGCTCACAGACTTCACCTGCTGCTGCTCATTTTTTAATTGCTTTTGGAGCTCTATATAGGATTCTTGCAGCTAAAACTAAAAAGCCCAGACACAAACGAACTTTGTTCATTCTGTTAAAATACAATTCAAAGTGATGAGCCAAAGACCGTAAACCGCTGGTATCCCTCACATATCCATACGGCTGAGTCGAAACCAATCTACAATGCTATAAGCAATCACAGAACAAGAGTCTCAATAACAGAACATACGGACGACGAGAATTGGGAGTCAGTGTTACAGATGTCAAGTTTGCATTGTCCAAATAGGCAGAATCGATCATTTTCTTTCGAATCTGAGTGGATATTTTCACACTCTGGAGGGAGAACTTCATACTCTCTACAGAGTCAAATCACTGCTCTACTAGAAAGATACCTTCCACAGGACGTGCCATTTCGAGTTTCCTGACTCTAAAGAAAGTGAAGAAAGGGATTAAGTGGTTTTGAACAAACAGGATCTAAAAAGGACTAGAGCAAGGATCAACAGCTCCGTTATCTGCATAAGGATTGCTCGCTCTTAAAGTATCTCTCCACTCCTTAGCTTTCGTACATAATTCCTCCAGTTTTAAAGTGGTTAGGTTCCTCTCCTCCATCAGACACTTTCCTTGCACCCACACATGAGTCACTCTATCATCAATCCGCTCACCAACAGCTACTGCTCTTTTCCTGTAGCGTACACAAGGTTCGAGAACAGATTATGAATCGGGAGACTTTCCAGTCGATTCATATCGATTGCGATCAAATCAGCGTGCTTCCCCACTTCGATGCTCCCTATCACGTCCTGCAATCCCAACGCTTTCGCTCCATTGAGCGTTGCCATCTCGAGTGCTGTCACGGCATCGACCGCCTTCGCGTCTCCTGCAGCGATGGGGCCGATCAAAGCCGCCGTCCGCATCTCCCCCATCATATCCAGGTTGTTATTACTGGACGCTCCGTCCGTTCCCAGACAGACGTTCACGCCTTTATCTAGCATTTTCTGGACTGGCGCGATCCCGCTTCCCAGTTTGAGATTGCTGTGGGGACAATGAACGACGGAGGCGTGGTGCTGAGCCAGCAGCTCGATGTCTTCGTCTAGGACGTGCACGCAATGGGCGCAGCAAGTGTGGTCGAGAATGCCGAGAGAAGCCATGTTCTGGATGGGCGAGCAGAGACGACTGCTCTTGTGGCAAGAAGGACAGGCATGGTTCCCAGCGATGCTGCTTTCCAGCTCATCTTTGGTTTCCTGGACGTGGATGTGCATTAGGATGCCGTGCTTTTCGCAGAGCTGCTTGATCGCCACGAGGGAAGCATCGTCGTAGAGGTAGGGAGAATGGGGAGCGATGCTGTACGTCACAAGAGGAGAGGGACGAGAGCCCTTCGATAATATCGATTCATTCTGCGTGTCAGTCAATCCATCGCAGATAGTACTGTTTTTAACGATCCCTCATTATCGCGACCCATCAGTCCGATGATTGCACGCATGCCAATTTTCTCTACTTCTTCTGCAGACTCCTCTGGGTAGTAGTACATATCATTGAAACAGGTAGTCCCACTGCGAATCATTTCTGCACAGCCCATTTGCAATCCCTATTGTTAAATCGAGTGCTGACATCTACATCTCGTATAAATCTCGGACTAATGAACATGTCTTCCATCGGCCAAATAAAGTGTTCTAGTGTTAACGACTCGAATGAATGGATACGCAACCAATCTGATAAGCTGTTATCGTCGCCATATGACTTGAATAAAAACATGGGTGTATGAGTATGAGCATTCACAAATCCGGGAAGAACAACGTGATAACCCAATTTGTACTCCGTTTTCGCCTCATACTTTTCCGACACAATCTATTGATCAGCAAGACTATCCCAAATTCACTTGTCGATCCGCAATATCTACAATGACCCCATTGTTGACAACAATCGAAGTATTTTTCAATATCGACCCACGAGGAACAATGGGAATAATCCACTTCGGAGAGAGCACTAAATCGACGACTTGTTTTCCTAACATATTCATTATGGTGAATCCAGTCTATTATAAATTAAAAAAATAGTACAATAGATGGAGTAATAATAATACTATATAAAAATAGGAAACACTTTTGAAAACGAATAATGGATTGTATGTAATCACAAATTCGCTTCAACTCTAGAGCGTCAATGGTCTAATGGTTAGGATTCTACCCTTCCAAGGTAGAGGTCCGGGTTCAATTCCCGGTTGACGCACTTTTATTTCAACAAGCAATTATCATCAATCCACAGGTATTTTCATTACATTCGAGTCATTTTTTATCTTCTGAACGGTTAGGGTTAGCACACCATCTTTATAAATGCATGAGATCGCGTCGGGGTTGGCTTGGGAGGGCAACTGAATTCTTCGTACCAACTTCCCAGTAGGACGCTCGCAATAATGGTATTTCCCCGCAGTCATGGGGATAGGCTTCCGCACACACTCCACAACGATACACGTTGGCCTTAAAGAGACGTCAATGCACTCCTTCGTAACCCCAGGAATGTCAAGACTAATAATATACTTTTCTTCATTATCTCGTATATCCAGTTTCCCAAACCCCATCACGGGCCAAATTCTCCTCTTTGACCAGTCAATTGTGGATGAAGCGGCATCTTCTTCGACTTCAAAAGGGTTTTGATCGGTTCCCGACTGACACTGATGACCAGTACTGCAGTCCTTTTGAATGCGCTTGATCATTTCCAAGGGAGCAGGCTCTGCTGCTTCTACCCTTTTTCTTGATTCGGCGGGTGCCTCTGTTGGAGCAATATACAGATAGGGAGGCGGAAAACCGACAAAATTGGGGGGAGCTTCGCCACTCGCTACCCGTCTGTTATCATTTGAGTGAAAATAACGAAATCCAGCATGGGCGGGTAACGGATGTGGAAAAGCAGAAAAGAACTCTCGAGGACATTGGTTGCTATATACACGACTGTCCGAGTTATTATAGACTGTTTGATACGGACAGAGTCGTTGTTCACAGGATGAAAACATTAAGTGATGGAAGGAAATCGAACTCCAGAGAAGTGTTCTAAGAGAATTCGTCTCTTCCGAGTTTTGTAGTTCCAATATTTGGGATTCGCACAGATTTCGAGTGGTATTGTGGAGCTATGAGAAATATTAATGTGACGAACCATTTTCTACGCATCCAACCAAACAATTCACGTCTCAATCAAACAGGCAAAAAATGATCAACTCTAAACTCTAAAATTGCATTTTCTCTGTTATATCCAAGCCACTCTCCTCCAATCGACTCCACCATCCGCCGCAGCATCTCCTCATATCGAGCCATTCCCTGGTCGGACCGAAGAGTCATCGGATACATGTTAAAGAGTCTCACAATCGCTCTCTTGTTTAGCTCGCAGCCCACCGGAGGCATAGGTCGCAAGTACAATTCTGGCGGGTACAGCTGCACGTAGGGCACTCCGTGCAGGTCCTTTTCGATCACCACTCGATGATCCAGATTCAAATAACACGCATCCGTGACTCCTTCCCAGCAGATCTCTCCCACCCCTTCATGACCCACCGTGAATCCCTCGAGACTCGCCACTTCCGCCTGCGATTTGCTCGCCATATCAAAGTGAGAAGGCACCATGTAATAGCCCGAACGGCGCAGGATTGGGAAGTAATCGTACTCCGCCTCCTTCACTTCCGGGCCTCGCGGCTGCGTCAGCTCGGAAGCGAACGTCGACTCGGGGACCTCCGCAGCAGGCTGGGTCGGAGAGACTTTCGATCGCTCAATGGAGCGGAAATAGATAGTGTTGTTCACGGGAGGCACGACGGCGGCGTTGATTCCGTCGAAAGAAGGCGGGTCGAACACAATTTCGTGGCTGTCGTGCACTGCAATGGTGCAGAAGAGAGCGCCAGGCGGAAGAGAGAGAGTGTGCAATGGAGCAGCATCGTCCAGAGTGACGCCGTTGAATTGGAGACGCCACCCTGTGAGGGAGGAAAGGTCACGAAGGATCCCTTTTGAGAGAAGCAAGTGACGGAAGGCGAGGACCGAGAGTGAAAGGGGAGTATCCACCAGAGTCGCTTCCTGGTTATGAAGCAGCACTGTTTGAATCGTCTAGAGTCCAGGAAAAATAGGACTTGTACAGGAAACTGCTGGGCATTTTCGCTCAATTCATCAAGAGAAGTGGCAACGGGCTTTAACTCTCCCAGGGAACCATAGCCAATCGTAGAAGAAGTAGATTGGTCAAAGGATCCCTCCTCAATCTTCAGAGTAGAGTGAGAAAGGTCCATCTTCATTGGCTGCTTTCGCATATAGGGAGAAACGTAGAGAGGGCTTCTCTCTGAATCAGAAGCAGACGGTTTCTTTTGAGGCTGAGATTCTGGAGCCGAACTGTAAGCAGCCGATGGGACTGCCATCATTCCAGAATCAATTATATTACGCAGAACTGTCTGAATATTTGACCTATTCCTCACTCCACCCGCAGTCGCTGATTACGCATTTGAAACTGCCTTGCCGTTGGTACCTGCACTATTAGCCATATTCAAAGAAGAATATCCTACCAGAACGGTATTCTCTGTTAAAGTCCTGCAATGACACTGGTTTCTCGCCTGACTGGCTCTATTCTATAACCTCTATTCAAAAAGTGCATACAGGAAGCATCCAGTAGCAACAGAAAAAAGAGAATGAAAATGGTTTGTTTCAAGACGGGTATTCCTTCTTGGTAGGAAAAACAGGTGTTTGTCATCATTGCGCAATTTGTTTGAAAAGTTTGTTATTGAGCTACACTGCTCATTGTCTCTTCCATCAAACGTTAAACAAGTGAAAATAAAGGATGATTCACGAGCTTTAGCTTTTGTTGTGAGGGTCAATTTCATAAGCAGGAAATAAATACAGAGTTTGGATTCCATGGGGTCCAGAATGATTCATTTTTCCACAAAATATATTTGCCACTTATCGAATGCAAGTGTAAGTAATGATACCTGCAATTTTCGATGCTTCGGTATTCATAGCATCTTCCATCTGGATAGACTTTGTCTAATCCTTTGGAGGGAACTGGGACTACGGTGAAACCGTTTTCCTTAAAGACATAAACCACATAGCTAGATTCGATGCATTAGGATGTGTCTAATGTATGTTTAGCCCTGAGTCCGTTTCCTTGAAGCAACGTCGCGATGAAAAACTGAAGGCTGCCGCTGAGAAGTATGCTGCTAACCTCGAGAAGGCCGAGCAGGTCAAGAGAGAGGCGATGGTGAAGCGCACTGAGCAGTACTACAAGGAATACGCTCAGATGGAGGCTGATCTGATTGCCCAGAGAAGAGATGCCCACAACAACGGACATCTGTTCTGTGAGGGAGAAGGCCGTCTGGCGATCGTGGTGCGTATTCGTGGTATCAACCAGTGCTCTCCGAAGGTGAAGAAGACCCTGCGTCTGCTTCGTCTGCGCCAAATCCACAACGCCGTGTTCGTGCGTCTGAACAAGGCTACGATGGAGATGCTGCGTCTGGTTGAGCCCTACATTGCCTACGGTTACCCCAACCTGAAGCTGGTGCGTTCTCTGATCTACAAGCGTGGATATGCCAAGCTGAACAAGCAGCGCGTTCCTCTGATGCTGAATGAGCAGATCGAGCAGGTGCTCGGCAAGTTCGGCATTGTGTCTGTGGAGGATCTGATCCACGAGATCTACACTGTGGGACCCCACTTCAAGGAGGCGAACAACTTCCTGTGGCCCTTCAAGCTGAACAGCCCCAACGGCGGATTCTCGAAGAAGCTGCGCCACTTCAACGAGGGAGGTGACTACGGTAACCACGAGGTGCTGATCGGCAAGCTGGTGAACAGAATGATCTAAAGATGTTTTTTGTAATCTAATAATAGCGGGTTGCATGTTTTCTGTATCAATCAAACAAGCAAACAGCAGGGAAGCAGCTTCCTTCCACCAACAGACACTGTCGCAGGAGCGTGTTGAGAACAACAGCTTACTCGCGAGAACGGCTGCGGCTGCGATCTCTCTTCTCCCTAAAAGTGAACGGAGCGTGTGAAAACTACGCGCGAGGGCTCTTCTCCTTCTCCTCCTTCTTCTCCTTCTTCTCCTCCGCTTCCTTCTACAGATGACCTCACCTCGCCACAACTACGGCAGGAGCCTTGATCTCACCGCAGTCAGCAATCACGACGGGGCTCAGAGGCTTATCTGCCGCATTGGTACGAGTATGCTCAATCTTGCGAACTACCTCCATACCCTTGATGACCTCACCGAAAACGACGTGCTTGCCATTCAGGTGAGGAGTAGGCACCGTTGTAATAAAGAACTGCGAGCCATTGGTGTTTCTTCCAGCATTCGCCATGGAAAGAAGACCCGCCTTGTTGTGCTTGTGGATAAAGTTCTCGTCGTTGAACTTCTCTCCATAAATCGACTCACCACCAGTTCCATTTCCACGAGTGAAATCTCCTCCCTGAATCATGAAGTCAGGGATCACACGGTGGAAGGTGCAGCCCTTGTAATGCAGAGGCTTTCCTCTCTTTCCCTTTCCCTTCTCTCCAGTGCAAAGCGCTCTACTGTCAACCTCTCACTGCGCAAACTACCTGAAATTCTCAGACGTCTTGGGAGTATCCTAAAATAAAGGAATGACAAGTCAAACCTACTTTGTATAAACGCATCTCAATCCGTCCAGCTAAAATCATTATTTACACTACGAAAAGATCTTACCAGGCTTTCCACCAATGGTGATATCAAAAAAGACGATAGGTCCACTCATCGCAACGATTCTATGACCCTCGATCCAGTTGGACGAGATGTCTGCCCTAGTCTCATTTCAAACACTTTTTGTTGTAATCATGGATGGTTCTTCTGAGCTCTCCGCAAGCACAGTGATCTTGAAGCGCTTCTTCCGGTCAACTGTTAGGAGCTATTTATGGGTGCTTCTCCTGGTTGTCCAATTTCTGGTACTATCCAATTTCTTGAACCGCTTCCATCTGTCGATGTGGAAGTTGCTGTGGAAAAGTGTTTTTTACTCCGTACTGCTGAGTTTACTGAATGTTGCGACTTTCGTCTGGGATTGATTGTAGACAGTAAACCAAGCTTACGTGAATTCTATTTTTATCATACAACCGTTCGTGCGCGTGAGTCTGTGGGATAGATGCAAGGAATATGTGCACGTGAGGCATTTTATGTATTGGGCACTCTTTCCTCTGCAGTATGTCATGTTCTATTTGATCGAAAGCCTCTGGAAGCATTGTTCGTTGGTTTGGTGAGATTTCTGCTTAGCTGTAATGCGCTAGGATTACCACAACTATGAAGAATGGGTTGATCGCTGTATTTGTTCATCGGCTTGTGTATTACATTTACATGTGGAAAAACGACGTAACCCCTTTGTAAGTCTATGCCTGATACAAAGAGATTTGACTACACCCCCGCATTCTCTGTTCCTCGCCATGAGAATTCCATTCGCCGTTGTGTGCTCGATTCAGCGTCGATTTCGCTCCTTTCCACACTTATCTTACTTTGTTTATTCATCTTCACTCGCCGTTTCCTTCCCTTCTTCTTCTTCTTCTTCACCACGCCCACTCTCTTCTTGCTCCTCTTCTTCCACTCCCTTCTCCAATCGATTCCAGAGCATTTCATTCACCACGTCCTCAACACCGATCTTTCCCTATCCGAGCTCAACGTTCCTCCCCGTTCTCCGCTCCCCATGAGCGCTCTGCTTCGCTCGCTCGCCTCTTCGCTCGCCGCGCCGATCTCGATCCGCTCCCGAAGCGACACGGGCTCCAATCCCCTCGAAGACTCTTTTTACTTGCTACATTCGATCACGAAATCGATCCACGTGCTGTCGTGTCACTCCTGCGATCTGATCGGATAGAGAGAAATCGGAGTGGATGAACGGATGGAAGCGCGTGTATCACTCTCTCCAATCGAAATACGCGGACGTGATGCAGAGCGTGGAGACGTGCGCGTGCGGAGAGGAGCTAAGCGATAGAAGCCAGTTTCTGACGCTCGATCGCCCCGCGATCACGAATAAAACCAAGCTCTTCGCTCACTTGCAGTGGAAATCGCTCGTTCATTTCCTCGAAATCGCCGATGTCTCGGAGATCCGCGCCTTCGTGTACGACCCCTCGCTTCTCCCGCTCGCCCATTTGAACTGGGCCGCGCTGCCCGTCGTGTTGAACACCACGCTGCAGCTGCAGGTCGCGAATCAAAAGTTCCAGGCGGAGCTTCCGCGATCGTTGAAAAACCCGAAACGATACACCAACGTAGAAATGGATGAAAGATGGCACGCAGATTTGTTTTGGAGATCTGCGACGAACGGTGTACGCTGTGAAGGCGATGACGCTGATTGCTGCACGATGCGACCCTGTGAATATTTTGTTCGAGGATGTAGTGTTTGTTTGGCTGCTTGCCGTGTTGTCGCTGTATGACGCCATCCGAAAGTGGGACTCGGAGCGCGTGATGAATTGTAGGACAGAGCAGCAGTTTGGAGGGGAGGAGGACGTGAAGGTCTTGTTGTCAGGTAGTTTTGGAGGCAAGCGGTGAGAGGTAGTGATCGATGACTTTTTCTATCAGGTGTTGAACAATGGAAGGATTTGTTTCGATCACTTTTCGGTTCCCCAGGAGTATTATGGTATTTTCATGCACTTTCGCGAGTAGAGTGTTTTGGACTTGTTATTTATTCACTGTTGTGTTGTTTGTTTGACTCCCTTCCACCGCGCAGTTTTTTGCTGACTGTACAACACCCTTTGAAGTAGAGAGGCTTTTAAATAGTATGAAAAGTGTGCGGAATAATCTCTCAAAGTTCTACGACGGCGATAAACGAGTGATTTGAAAAAGATGTGTTCTAGAAAGATGCCTGTCAAATCGTTACATAATTCATTCCAAAAATCGGGATTATTTTTAATGAAGAAACTATCACAAAATATTATTGCAAAGGAATGGAAGTAGAAAATAATCATTCAAATCCTGGAAATGATCCGAATCCTCCTCTGAAGAAGAAGAGATCCCCTTATAGACTGTTAGTTGATGATGCAGTGAGTGAAGACCAAAATGACAACTCTACGATTGGATTAAATGCAGACAAAATTGCAGAGTTGGGTTTGTTCAAGGGAGACGTGGTGTCCATTCGCGTGATCTGTTTAATCAGTTTTTGACGGATAGGGAAAGCGTGGAAAATCGACAGTTGCTGTTGTGGTTGAAGTGGATTGCGACTTTGGCTGTATCCTTATGAACAAGGTTGTGTTAGTTAACAGGGTTTATGAGTAGGTCATTCGAAAGAATCTGGCCGTTCGTCTGGGAGATTTAGTCACAGTCAAAGCGATTGACAACCTGCCAAACGGTGAGAAGGTTGTCATTTTTGTAATGTGTCATTCTTAGATCAGCGTTCTTCCTTTTGATGATACGTTAGAAGGAGTTACTGGAAACCTCTTCGAAGTATATCTGAAGCCCTACTTTGTGGATTCCTACCGTCCTATCAAGCTGGGCGATACTTTTATTGTTCGTGAGGCAATGCACCCCGTGGAGTTCAAAGTGGTGGACATGGAGCCTGGAACCGAGTGCGTGGTGTGTCCGGAAACGGAGATCTACTGCGATGGCGAGCCTCTCAAGCGTGAGGACGAAGAGCGTCTAGACGACGTCGGCTACGACGATGTCGGCGGATGCCGTCGTCAGATGGAGCAGATCCGAGAGATGATCGAGCTGCCGCTGCGTCACCCGCAGCTTTTCAAGACGCTGGGCGTGAAGCCTCCGCGTGGCGTGCTTCTCTACGGTCCTCCGGGCTCTGGCAAGACGCTGCTGGCGCGTGCCGTGGCGAACGAGACGGGCGCGTTCTTCTTCCTGATCAACGGCCCCGAGATCATGTCGAAGATGGCCGGCGAGAGCGAGAGCAATCTGCGCAAGGCGTTCGAAGAAGCCGAGAAGAACGCGCCGTCGATCATCTTCATCGACGAGATCGACTCGATCGCGCCGAAGCGAGAGAAGATCAACGGAGAGGTGGAGAAGCGCGTGGTCTCGCAGCTGCTCACGCTGATGGACGGAATCAAGCAGCGATCGAACGTCGTGGTGATCGGAGCCACCAATCGGCCCAACGTGATCGACCCCGCGCTGCGTCGATTCGGTCGATTCGACCGGGAGATCGATATTGGCGTGCCCGACGAGGCCGGCCGTCTCGAGATTCTCCGCATCCACTCGAAGAACATGAAGCTGGACGCCTCGGTGGACCCGGAGGCCATCGCGAAGGAGACGCACGGCTTTGTGGGCGCGGATATCGCCGCGCTGTGCACGGAAGCGGCGATGCAGTGCATTCGCGAGAAGATGGACTACATCGACATGGACGACGACTCGATCGACGCGGAGGTCCTCGCCTCGCTCAGCGTCACGCAGGACCACTTCCGCTACGCGCTGGGCAAGGCGAACCCCGCCTCGCTGCGCGAGACGGTCGTGGAGGTCCCGACGACCACGTGGGAGGACATCGGCGGTCTGGAGGAGGTCAAGCAGGAGCTCAAGGAGATGGTGCAGTACCCCGTGGAGTACCCCGAGATGTTCGAGAAGTACGGCATGGACCCCACGCGCGGCGTGCTGTTCTACGGCCCTCCTGGCTGCGGAAAGACGCTGATGGCGAAGGCGGTCGCCAACGAGTGCCAGTCGAACTTCATCTCGATCAAGGGCCCCGAGCTGCTCACGATGTGGTTCGGAGAATCCGAGGCCAACGTGCGCGACGTGTTCGAGAAGGCGCGCAGCGCGGCGCCGTGCATTCTCTTCTTCGATGAGCTGGACTCGATCGCGCGCTCGCGCGCGCAGAGCGTGGGCGACAGCGGCGCGGGCGACCGCGTGATGAACCAGCTGCTCACGGAGATGGACGGCATGCAGTCCAAGAAGTCGGTGTTCATTATCGGAGCCACCAACCGCCCCGACATCATCGACACCGCGCTGATGCGTCCGGGCCGTCTGGACCAGCTCATCTTCATCCCGATGCCCGACTTCGCGAGCCGTGTGTCCATTCTCAAGGCCTCGCTGCGGAAGTCCCCGATCGCTCCGGACGTGGATCTGAACGTGATCGCGCAGGCGACGGACAAGTACAGCGGAGCCGATCTCGCGGAGATCTGCCAGCGAGCGGTCAAGTACGCGATTCGCGACCGCATTGAGCTGACGGTGCAGCGGCAGATGGCGCGCGAGAAGATGCTGGAGAGCGGCCTGACGGAGGATCAGATCCCCGAGGAGGATCCTGTGCCGTATGTGACGCGCAAGCACTTTGAGATGGCCGTACGCGAGTCTCGTCGTTCTGTTTCGGATGCTGATTTGCTCAAGTACGAGTCGTTCTCGCAGAAGATGAAGCAGCAGCGCGGAAACATGGGAAGCGGAGTGGCGAACTTCTCGTTCGGCGACGCGCAGAACATTAACGCGCCCGCGGACGATCTGGACGGACTGTATGACGATGTGCCTGCGCGCAACCCTGTCCATCCGCCCAACAATCGCGCTGCGACTTCGCAGGGCCAGACCCAGCCTCAGCCTCCCGCACCGGAGAGCGGACGAGGAGATGAGGACTTTGAAGATTTATATGATTAAGGAGAGTGTTTGTTCGAAAACAGGGATAGTGGGTACGTTTTGAGTGGGTAGACTGACTATCCGATGATTGGGTGGAGGAGGATCGCTTCACGCCCCCAGGCTTCGGACTTGTTGACGTTGAGGCTGGCGGGGATGGTGGAGTTTGGGAATTGCCCAAATTGGATGTGGATTGGGAATTGCCCAAATTGGATGTGGACTGGGAATTGCCCAAATTGGATGTGGATTGGGAATTGCCCAAATTGGATGAAGACTGAGAATTCTCATCGGCAGCCCGGGCATTTCCGGTATGATCAACTACGGTCTGGGCATTTCCGGCATTGTTCAGTAACTGCTGTATCTGCGAGACCAATAACGGCACGAGCTCTTCGGTCGTCCCGTGGTTCGGATTGCCCCGGCTGTCCTGCGGCATGGACAACCGAATCACGATATCGACATTGGTGGAGACCGCTTCGTCCTCCGCCCCGTGCCCATTCGCATGGCTCCCTTCGCCCTCGCTCTCGTTCTCTCTTCTCACTGCATCGTCTCCTTGAGAAAAAGAAAGAAAAGGGGCCGGAGTGGGGTGTGCGGCATTTTCTTCGGAGGAAGACACAGTAGTAGTCGTAGCAGTAGTAGAAGAGGGAGCGGCAAGAGTGGCAGTGGGGAGATAAAAGTAAAAAACACGAGCGAATTGGAGTAAGCGGTGACTCATTAGAGCGCGAGAAGAAAAGAAGCGAGACAGCTGGTTTATCTAGATGAGACGCATGGAGTAGAGATACTAGGTCGGGAGAAAGAGCGTCTTCTTCATTCGACGACTAGAAATGAAAGAAGAGGACAAACACATGTACATTTAATCGATGCTCCAAAGCTTCGCGCACAACAGATAGGCTCTCCAGGCTCCCTGTAAGATAGGGAATGATGCTCTGGAATTGTTGAGAATATTGACGAGATAATTGCGTGTCGGGGGTCTGATTAGGTGTTTGCAGCATCAAAATGGTATCTCTGTATATTTCTTGATATCGCTGAAATTCCCGCTCTCTAAAAGTTAATCCAAAGCACAGAAAAAAATAAATACAGTGTCTGAAGAGCCGACTGAACGGTGAATGCTCTTTGGTTTGGTTGATGAGGTTGCTGATTTCCAGCTGCCTGTCGAGGTTGCTGATTTCCAGCTGCCTGCCGAGGTTGCTGATTTCCAGCCGCTATCGATCACGGAACTATTCAAAATCAAACGTCGCTCAACGTGCTCTCTCTTTACTAATAAAACAGTATCTCCGTTTGTAATATTACAGTTTGAAATAGTTTGATTATCCACTAATTGTCTTCCACGAAAAAGAAGTACAATGGAGTTGATTTCGATCTCTAAATATAATAAGTAAGATACAAGCCTCACGAAAACGTTCACTAGCGAGTTGACGGAGCTTAAGAATATTATCACTTCGATCTAGTTCAAAACTCTCGTTTCTATCTTCTATCGAACGAACATTGATTCTGATATTCTCTCCTGAATCCATAAACCCACTTAGTGTAATCAAAAACAAAACTTTTAATTCCTAACAAACGTGCTTAATTTAGAAAACTGATAACCAATTGAAATGGTTAAAATATTGCCATTCTTATATGGGGCTGTAGCTGGATATCTGATCTGGAGGTTCTGTAAATTGATTTGGGATACAAGCGACCCATACAAAAGCCTCAAGGATAAGGAGATATCAGTGGGTGTTCGCGCTCTCTTTTATTCATAGTTGGATGACGAGACACAGCAAGAAGGTGATGACGGAGTTTTTGGTACAAATTCGGCTTCGGTATGTGGTGTGGATTCAGTGTCACAGTAGAACCTTCTGCACTTGACTCAATTCGAAAATGAGTCAGAAACCAACGAAAACAAGCACGACTTTACTATTCGTTCATCACATGCATACGACTTTTCAGACGAAGAAGAGGTTCATTCCCACAGGAGTCTTTTAAAGAATGGCAGCAATCCGGAAAATGGCAACGATATTGCTCCGCAACTGGTTGAATTCGATAATTTCATGTCTTAACGTAACGAATTTGTATAGTAAACAGTTTGTTAAATATGCTACATGGAATGGGCTTTTTTTTGATGCCTCTTTAAGTCACAGGCATAACCAAACTGCTTTAGACAAATTGAACACATAAACGGCCTAGAATGCGCCAGTTCATGGAGATGAAGAGTATTCTTCGAGTTAAACTGCTTCCCGCAACCTTCGAACGAGCACATATACGGCTTAATTCCCTCGTGCCTTGTAATTTCGTGTTCTTTCAGCTACACCTCACAACACATCAAATCATCTACAAGATAGGGATAAGCGAACGACTTCGAGCATTTCGAACAGACATAGCGATGATTCACGCCATGCCTCGTCATATGCTGTCGCAAAAGCCATGGCTTCGCGAACGCCTTTCCGCAAATGGTGCAAATGTTGTCTTTAATCATGGTATGCGCGAGATTAATGTGTGTATTCAGCGCCGATTTCGTTCGAAAACACTTCCTACAATTCGCGTGCGGGCATTCAAAAGGCTTCGAGTCCGAGTGCGTGTTCATGTGAAGATTGAGCGAGTATCGCGAACTAAACGCCTTGCTGCACGTCGGACAAACGAACGACTTCTTCATCGAAACCACCAGCGTCTTGTATTCCTCCAGAAGCGACGGAATCTGCGAGATCGTGAGGCTTACCAAATCTTCCTGGGACGCGGAGTCGTTGAGCAGCGTCCCTTTCTAGAGGAAACACGTGGAACTAGAACGACTTCCGAGTGGAAATGAGACTTGCGAAGCTCCGAGAGTTCTTTGAGAAGCAGAGGGATCTCGGAGTAGGTCAGACTCTCGAAGGAACGGTTTGTAAACGAGAGCTTGCTTCCCTTGAGAGAAGCCGGCTTCTCCACGGGGTTGAGCTGGATGGAGGAGACATCGGGAATTGGCATTCCACTATCAACTGCGTGGGACACATTTGTTGTGGCTGTCAAAATCCCTCCCACAGAGACACTGGATGGATAGGGTTGTTGCAAAGGAACGCTGTTCTTGTCCAAAATGTGGTCTGAATTATGAACATACACAGGAGATAGAGTTTCTTGTGGTTGCTACAGTCCAACAAAAACATAAAAAACACATCGATGGAGCCAACGATGTTTTGAGGTAACGACACAGTAGAGTAAAAGTTGCGGTCTATGTTTCACATTGAATAACAGAGATTACTGCTCAAAGGCATGTCCGAAGTAACGGGCAGATTTACGTACCCGATGCTACTAGATGCAGGAAAGTTCTGGTCTAGAGCTATTCCATCATATAAAAAGAGTGTAACTACGAAGATCGGGCAAGTCCGCTCGTGCTGGTCCTGATATATCGCTCCCCACTTCATTTGGTATAAGCTGTGATTCAAAACCTTGAATCATGCTCATCTTTGAAACGGAGATAGAGGATGACCAATTTTGCTTCGATTTCTGCCAAAAAACGTTACTCTTAGATTTATAATATTTGTATACTGTCATGATTGAAGGATTTGTACACTTGCAAAGAGTAACTCAGTACTCAACAACATGGCGAAATTGTTGGATGCGAATAGATGAGCGTAGTATCCACATTTATTACAGACCAAATAGTCCTCCTAAATGTGTAAAGGCGTCTCGAGTTTCTATTTCTTTTATTAACGTAACCGGTAGGTAGTGTCACTGACAAATTGTAAAAGTGCCCAAAAGAGTGTTTCTCCCGACTCCAACGAGTTTGTTCTAACGATTGAGTGTAATGGATCCGATCCTGTGGTAGTCAAGTCTGAAGATGGCAACGTACCTTTATTATTATGGCTTGACGGTAGTTGATCGACTCGTTTGAATCTGCAGTGAAAGGACGATCAGTATCCTTCGTTTTGTTGTTCGATGTAGACTTCTTCTCCGGCCCCTAAGCGAGAACAACCGAAAGAAGTTTCTCCGTCCACCAAGTCATCGAAGCCCCAGTTTAGCTCCCTTGCGAGCACTTCGCCCAAGACGACTTCAGTTAAATCCACTGTTTCAAAAACTTCTCCATCTTCGTCTTCTGTTTCAAAGCCGACTCCATCTCCGTCGTCTGTTTCTAAGTCGACTCCATCGCAGCCTCGTTCTGCCCCCGTCTCCAGCTCTGCTCCCGTGACGTCCTCCTCCACGTCTTCCACTTCTGCGCGTGCCACAGTCTCCAAAGCAAAGCCGGAGCCTCCGAGTTCGCCCCCAACGCAGCAAGCTCCGCCCATTCATTCGGCTCCTCCCAAGCGTTCTGGAACCGCTCCTGGCCACGGCAAAATGGATTCGTTGCGGGCGATCTTCGAGAAGAAGGCGGCTCCCCAGACCGCTCCGCCCGCTCCCACACGCAGCGGCTACAACTCTCTCAAGAAGCCGGCAGCGCAAGAAGCTCGCAGAGAGCCCGCCCAGCCTGCGCCCAAAGAGCCTTCCAGGCCAGCTCCCCGAGAGTATTCGAAGCCTGCGCCCAAAGAGCCCTCGAAACCAGCGCCCAAAGCTCCTTCGAAAGCTCCCAGAGAAGCTCCCAGAGAAGCTCCCAGAGAAGCTCCCAGAGAAGCTCCCAGAGAAGCTCCCAAGGCTGCGCCCAGAGAACCATCTAAACCAGCGCCTAGGGAAGCTCCCAGGTCTGCGCCCAAAGAGGCTGCGAAGTCAAATCAGAACACTCCGACCTATCAGAGACCGATGGTGTCGAAGTCGATTTCGATGCTGATGGAGAAGCTGAAGAACAATCCGATCGAAGACGAGGAAGAAGAGGAGGTTCCTGCCAAGCCCGCGATGCCGCGTCGCCAGTCGCTCGGAGGCATCAATGTCCGCGACCTCGCCTCCAAGCACGAGAGTTCGCACTACCCCGCCGAAACGAAGGCGAATGCAGCAAGTGCGGCTCCGCATGGACACGTGAAACCCGTGCAGATGCTCGAAGTTGCGATCCCTACGATCCAAGAAGAGGCGGAATTCACGGAGGACAAGCGGCCCAGCGAAGTGATCCAAGAATCGTCCGACGCAGCGAACGCCAAAATCGAAATGGCGCAGAACGACGCGCCGCTGCGAGATAGCTTCGCGATGATGATGGACGAGTTCGATATCGATCTGGACGACATGGAAGAGGAGCTCAAATCGATGGATCTCCCGTCCACTCTTTCTTCCCAGCCCACCATGATCGAGCACACCTCGATCAGCACCAACACAGACATCGTCAATGTGAAAACGATCGATATCGCGTGTGTGCCTGCCGACAAGACCATTCCGCCGATCCCCACCACCACACCGCCTCCAGCTCCGGCTCCGCCTTCAGCTCCGGCTTCAGCTCCGAAAGCAGCGCCGCCTTCAGCTCCGAAGAAGCCGTTTCAGGGAGCAGGCGCGATCGATGACGTGGATTTCGACTCGATCGAAGACCTGGACATCGACAGCATGGTGGAGGAAATCAACCGCGAGCAAGAGCAGAAGAAGCAGGACGAAGAGCAGCAGCAGAGAGAATCGCTAGGCAAGGTGGGCTATTCGTTCGCTCCGTCTCGTTTGTGTGGGTCGCTTGGATGAGAGGTAGAGTACCAACCGAAGCAGGAGTTTGTTTCTTCCGGAGTGAACAGCGTGTTCTACGATGTGAGCAATGGAAAGGAGGATATGAGTACCATCGAGCTGAGCAATCTGCTTCGCCGCGTCTGCGATGGCTCCGTCACCATGCGAACTGTCACGACGTAGCGATAGCGTTCTCTTCTAACTCGCAGAATCGCGAAGGAGATCCAGAACGAGAAGGAGCGCATTCCGTTCGCCTCGTTCGTCGCCTGGTGGAACGCGTTAGTCGACTACGCGCAATCCAGCGAGCCGGCGCCGAAGCAGCCGCCACCCATTCCGCAAGAAGCCACGCTGAAGGGAACTCTCCCGTCGCCTCCGCCTGAACCCACCGCGAGCAGCCAGCCTTCCGCCAACGAGGCAATGCTGAGCTCGAGGAGACTTTCCGGAGTGGGCCAGTCGTCGTTTAGCTGGAACGAACGATGGCAGAAACTGTGCGATGCGGTGACGAGCGATAGCAGCATGGACTCGGGATCGCTGCTGGACTTAACGAGCGATTACTGCAGCAAAATGATAAAAGAGGTGGACGAGATGCGCGATAAGATCTTCCAGCGATTCCTCTGTCCGGAGAATCTGCGGTCTGCGCTTCGCGATGGGTTCTACGACAAAGATTCGTGCTTCTATTCGGATAATGGGTCGCTGTTCATCATCCCGATGCACGTACGTTCGGTTCGCTGTGTCAAACAAAGACGTTCGGCTCGATGAAGGATATCGACAACTACATGCAGATGAACAGCGAGGAAGACGTGGATTCAAGGTATCTCTGCTGCTCTCTCCTTCCTCTAGATCGTTCAAATCCGCCGACAAGGAACTGAATCAGCTTCGATTCATTCTGGCGCATCTCGGAGAGAAGGCCGACCGATTGTGCGTTCCCTCCACCGCCCTGCTGGACATCGCCGGCTTCCGATTCAACATCGTATCGGCGCTGCCCATCCAGAACAGTTCCTCTCTCTACAACCAAGAAAACCCCTCGCCTCAAGTCACTTCGCGTCTTCCTCAGCTCAACGAGGCTGCGCAATACTCCGTCTGGCGCGGCGATGATCACCGCAACTACATGATCGGCTGCACGGAGCTCCTTCCCTCCGATCCGCTCTCCGCGCCTCTCTACGACTACCAGCCCGCGATTCGCTACGAAGTCGCCGATGAATTGATGGGCCGATCGGCGTCGGAGATCCAGTCCGCGCTTCTCTCGCAGATCGAATCGGTCTGCCAGGAATTGGAGCAGTTAGAAGACCCGCCTTGTTGCTCCGCGGAGCTCTCCATCTTCCTGCATGGCCGCGGCGTCAGCATGCGGCATCTCGGATTGATGTACAACTGCGCGACGCAGGAATGGCTCCGGCAGCTTCTCTACGTGGATATGCTCGCGCGAACCATCAAGAACATCTTCTGGAAGCATCTGCGCTGTCTGATCTACCAGGAGAAGCCGCAGGCCGACGTCACGCTCGCGGAGTCGCAGTCGAGTCCTTCCGCCTTCGCGCAGCACTTCGGTGCGCATCGAAAGCCGCGGTAATCCGTAGAGTCGATGAAGTACTTCATCGAGAAGGGCACGATCACGCTACTGAACCACATTATGACGTGTGACGCACAGTCCGAAAACTACTGGGTGAACGTGGATTCGTTTCGCTCCCTCAATGCTAGGCGCTGCTCCCCTCCGTCTACAGCAAGTTCCCCTCCGTGCCCGAGCTGGTTCCCTACGGCTGCAATCCCTGGGAATTGCTCAGCGCGATCCAATACCAGTGCGGGCTCAAGCTGAACTGCGCGGGCAACGAGCTACTCTTCACGGAGACGCATCCCTTCACCGATCAACACATCGACGGCATTCCCTTCAAAGTGAAGCTCCTGCTTCCTCCCAACAGCTTCACCGATCCCTCGCTCATCCTCAACCAATGGTACGCGCTCCTCTTCTGTCTCTCTCTCTAACTCTCTAGCGCGCTCAAGCTCTCCAGCCGCCAAGCGAGTGTGCAGCAGCAGATCGAGGAGTCGCTGCAATACGCGACCGTTCTTCTCGAGAGCAGCAAGTCCCCGTTGCTGGCCTCTGCCTACTTCCAGCAAGCCGTTCTCGCGCAGCGTCGCCGCGAGTTCCAGGCCTCCGTCGCCTTCGCGAACTCGCTCGTGGCCATCATGCATCCCTACGATCCGCTCTATCTCCGCGCCCTGGGCGTTCAGTTCTACGCAGGGCAGGATCCGCTCGGCGTGATCTCCAACATCAACGACATTCTCAGCTTCTACTGCGCCTCGACCTCCTTCTATCTTCCCTGGATCATTTTCTCGGTTGGAATGCTCGCGCTGCCGCAGGACGCCGAGCTCGGCATGGAGTACGTCAACCGCGCCTTGTCGCTCTGCAAGGAAGTGCTGGGCAGCTCGCACCCCACGCTGGCTCGCATGGATCTCGAAGTGGCCGACGTAGCGTCCATGGACTCCGTTTAATTCAAAGATTCTGCTGTCGTTGGAGTATTTCGCGGAGGCCAACAATTTCTACGAGGCCGCGGAAAGCCTGCAGCTCGGCGGCGATCCGCTCACCTCGTCGTTGATTCTGATGCAGCACGCGAAGTGCTTGATGTACTCGGGAGACTTCGAGAAAGCGGCGCTCTACGCGTGCGCAGCGGTGCAGCGTCGCGAAGAAGAAGGCGTGGAAACGGAGGACTTGCTGCAAGGACTCGACGAATGCGCTTCGATTCTGCTGAGCTGCGGACGCGCCGATGATTGTCTCCGCTATTTGGAGGAGGAGATCGCTTTGCTGATGGGAAAGAACGACGTGGCGCGCGCTCGAATCCCGGCGCACACGCTCGTGGAGTTGTGGGCGGATAATCTGAACGAGGTGGAGCGACAGACGCTGCGAGTAGGCGAGTGGATCGAGGATTAGCGGCGTAGAGCTGCGTGCAACTGGCCGGAAAGGTCGAGAATCCGCTGGACGTGGAGGAAGCGATGCGGAAGGCGCCTGGAATGTTCCAGGGGTTGCAGGAGCTGAGTGCACAGCTGCAGGAAACACCCACGACGCAGATAGTGAACAGAGTAACGAGTTTGCTGCTCTTCGCGAAGGGGAACGAGTATATAATTTGGCTTGTTTGCGAACAAACACAACATAAAGGACGACGACTTTTCATCAAGCTCACCTTCTCTTCGAACGCTCCGATGTCGGGTAGGAGATGGATGGCGCGGTTGTACACCTTCTGCGCCTTCTCGAACTGTCCGTTGCTTCGCTCGAACCACCAATACTTCACCCATGTCTCCGTGTCTTGCGAGCAGCGCTTCGCCAGTTCGCCGTACAGCCGCTCAATCCGCTTCACCGTCTCATCGCGCTCTCTCTGCTCCTTCTGCTCCTTCTGCTCCTTCTGCTCCTTCTGGTTGGTTTGCTGGGCTGCCTCGTCCGAGAGGGAAGCCAGCCAGCGATTCTCGTACTCGATGCACTCGCCGAGAACCTCGGACCCCAGGGGAATCAGCACTTCGTTCTCCAACGCACTGCAGCTCAAAGCCTTGCCACGATCCTACAAGTCCTCCGCGGAGCGCAGACGCGAAATGCTCTGCTCGTTGCAGTAGGAGAGATACAAAACGAACACGGGAACGTTCAGCTCGGGAGCGATCAAAAACACTTTCTAGCGGTGATTTCTTCCTTTCAAAACGACATGGAACAGCGCTTCGATCGCTTCGTCCGCTTCGTGAATCGAAATCAAAAACTTCAAGTAGCGCACCGCCACTTTCAGCAGCTCGCCTCGATTTTTCTCGTTCGCAAACCGACTCATTCCCTTCTCGTACAAATCCGCAATGAACTCTACGCCTCACCTCGCCTCTTCGCTCTCACCCTTCGCGTTCGACGTTCCAGCAGCATCCGTAATCAGCGAAATGTCCCTTCCGGCCACAGAAACCAGAAGATTCATCGTCTTTTGGAAGGCTTCGACGGTGCTCGTCAGCAACTCCAAGTACTTCATCACACACGCCACACACTCTTGCATCTGGCCTCGATTGGCGTAGAACCGAACGAACGCAAACACGACTTCCTCGGACACTTCCTTCTTCGCCTCCGCCTCGCGGAAGAACGATTCGATCGCTTCATAAAGCGGGGAAACATCGCCATAAGGCGCCAAAGACGTCGCGGCGTCAGTCAGAGCGGTGATCAACAGCGTGAAAACCGCGGAAGGAGCGGCGACATCGGGCGAAGCGAGGAGTTTCTAGCGTGGAGAGGAAGCCAAATCGAAACGGAAGCGGCGTGCTGCGCGAGCTGCTGCGCCATGAAAAGAGCTTCGTCGAATTGGGATCGATTTCGCTTTGCGACATCGTCGGATGCCGAAGAAGAAGAAGAATCGAGGGAAAGCTGATGAATTACACGCGAGACTGGATAGGGAATGAGGACGTTCCAAAGAGAGAGATTCTATGGATGAGGGAAGGGAAGAGAAGAGAAGACGGTCCAGTGATTATCGAGGAGATCTTGGAGAATGAATTGCTCGACGAAGGTGTTTCCCAGCTCGAAACTGATTTGAAGAAGCGACGTGGCGAGTTGGATATCGTCGCATTCTATGAATTAGCAAACGGTATCGAGCGGAAACCCTTCATAGCGTGCTTGAAAATGATTTTGGGAATGGATCCTTGAAGAAATTGGGATTGATAGGCTTCGGATTGCGAGCGAATCATCTCGTCCATCTCGTGATTCTTTGATTCCTCGGCGGATTTCGCGCTGGCTTCTGCTTGATTTGCAGTGGAGGCTAGTCATTAGATGGAACGCTCGTTCTCACAAGACTCTTCGTTATCCTCCAGCAATTCCAAATCGTTCACATCTTCATCGTTATCGTTATCGTTATCGTTATCGTTATCGTTATCGTTATCGTTATCGTTATCGTTATCGTTATCATTTTCATCTTGTGATTTCTGACTTGATGATGACTCCGATTGTGATTCCGATTCGGAGAGTTCCTTCTCCATCAGCTCTTCCAGCGTTTTATCCTTTTCATCGCCCAGCAATCGCTCACGAAGAGACTGCAATCAAAACAGCGAGAGAAAGCCTACACTGAGACCGAGAACACGACGACGCTCTTCGATTAAATTCACATACCCCAGTTCGAATCGGAAATACTCTTTCCATAATAGCTGGCTGTGCTTATTGATTCGGATTGCGCGCTGCATCAAAGCTATGAGTGATCGGAAAGCAGAGAAATCACTTCGAGCGTTCGAAAAATTGCCTTGAGACATTTCCCAGTTGGCTGCTTTCACCCAAACTCCTTCGGCTCGAGGGTGCAACTGCAGGATTCTATACGTCAATCAGCCAGCTTCCAGAATAAAGCTTACCTCGGAAACAGAGTCCCTAACTTTCCATTTGCACCGATTGATTCACAGAACTCTACATACTTTAGCCAAACATTTAAATCGCTTTTATATCTCCGGATCATCCGTTCAAAGATAAAATGGGTCCGATTCACAACACTACTGTCGCTCTTCAGGTACTTGCTCAGACCTACGTTTAAAGACTAACGGAACAGAATACCTAGACGATTCTTACGCATTTTCCGCAGTGTTTCCAAATTGATTTCATATTGAATCGCAGTAAGGTAGTCCTGGATCGTTTTCGAATAGCTGCTCATTGCATATTCCATTCCGCGACGTTTGTGAATGATAGATGTAATTTCTCCCTACGCATTAGCGAACACCTCAGTGAACCGTACATGAGAGAAGATTCCGTTCTCTTCCATATCCCTCAGGTCCGGAACCATTCTCTCCATAATCTCATTCACATTATCACTCATGGTTATCGAGAATTTGCACAAACAATGGAGTCACAAAATACCCCCGAATTCTGCCATTTGCCTTTTTCAACAAACAAATTCACACGTTCACTACAAAGGATCTAACTTCTTACGATTCGTCCAGGGACCAGATTCGGACGACTCCCGTGAGATACGCAGCCACAAGCTTGTCTCCTAAGAAACAGAGAGCTTCGCACTCATCAGAGCAGGCAAAGACCTTCTCGAGCTTGAAATCCTGCGGAATGTTCCAGATGCAGATGGTCTTATCTGCCGACGCACTCGCCAGCTACGATCGACATCATCCCTCCTTCCCTACATATATTCCATTATCGCTCACGCAGAGGTCGGTAATTCGCTCCATGTGTCCCTGAAGCTCCTTCATTAGCTCTCCCTCCAGGCTCCAGACCTTGATCAAATGGTCCCAGCCACCGGTGAAGATCATGGAGTTCGACGAGGCATGGCCGAACGTGACGCAGGGAATCACGCAGTCGTGCGCAGACTCGATCGAGAACAAGGAGTGGTGCCTTTTATCGATTTGGTAGACGTTCAGAGTGTAGTCGTTTCCCACACTGGCCATGTAGTAGTAGTCGCCGAAGTCGTCGGAGAGAGCGACGTCCAGCACCACGCCCGTGTGGTCTTCGATCTTGTACGTGTACTCTTCCTCCAGAGGCTCGGCACCGCCGTCCATGAGGCTCTTCACCTGCAGCTCGGGGAGAACGTGGACCATCACGCTTCCCTGGAGTGAATCGACCCCTCCATCCATACATCCTCCGAAGCGGAGAACAGCGTGTCCCATGCTTTGTTGAAAGCGATCGATCGGATCTTGCCCGAGTGGCCGACGAAGCGGCAGAGCTACGCTTCAGCGCCGGGTTCCGCCGCTACATCGAACATTTCGTCGGTCACTTCTCGGTTCGCAGCGTGGCATTCCTTCTCGATGCCTCCGTAGAATCGAAGATACTCCGTGGAGTATGTGTGGATCGCGTAGTCCTTTCCCGCGGCGAAGATAATGCCGTCCGCCTTGCGATGATTGCCGTGCAGAGAATCGCTTACCGTGGCCACAGAGGAGAGCGCAGAGGGCGCGGTGAAGGACATAAGCCGCACTCCGCTATCGATATTGAACACATTGACCGTGTAGTCACTGGAAACCGTCACGATGGTGTCGTCCTAGAAGGGAGAGCGAGGCGGCAGAGCTACGTTGATGGGCGCAACGCCATTCACAGAGTCGGAATGGCCGATGAACTCTTGGAGATGAAGCAGCTGCAGCTCGGGGATGGAGATGCTGTAGATCTAGAATCAAAACCGGCGCTCGATCAATACGCGGATGCAATTGCCGCCGCTGCTGACCGCGATGTACTGCATGTTGGAAGGCATCGACGCACAGGCGATTCCCTTGCTCTACTCTCACAGACAGGCTCCAACCAAACCGTGAAGATCTTGAAGATCGCCACAAGCTGATCGTTCGCGGCCACCGCAACGTTCTGATCGTCACTGAAGCCTTTGAGGAGTTCGTCCAGGGAAAGCTAGTCTCAACGGCCATCTCGATGGTTACGGCGCTCATATCATCGTCCAGCGAGTTCGTGACCGCCATGGACCCCAGTTTGTAGACATGGATCGATCCGTCCATCGAGGTCGACACCAGATGCGACATCGAGCCGCAGGCGAACAGGCCGGAAATGTCTCCCTTGTGGGTGCTCCTATCCATCACGCCGCGCTGCGAGCGACCCACATCATGTTGTTTTGATCCTTGATCTCTCGAATGCACTTGCGCGCATTGAAGCTCCACACACGAATCGAGTTGTCGCGAGCGCCGCTGAAGATGTACTCGCCGTCTTCCGAGATGGCGAGAATACTCACGTCTCCCAAATGGCCGTCCATCGAAGCGAGCAGCGGACAGACTATGCCTTGGTTATCAAGCTGGGCATCATCTCGCCTTTCGGATCCGTCCTACGCGCTTGTAGAGATTCTCCGGAGACAGAGAAGACGTGCCCCATAGATTGATCGAGCTGTCGCGACCAGCAGTGACCAAGTAATCGTGCGACTCGCAGAACACCATCGTATTCACACTGCTCTTGTGGGCAGAGATGGTCTCAAGATAACGGAAACTAGGAGTCCATGCCAAGAGACGGACCTACTTGCCACTCACGTCCCAGAGACGAATGGTCGAATCGCGGCCTCCGGTAGCAAGAATGGTTCCATTGTACAACCAACATAAGCAAGTCACTTCACCCTCGTTGGCAAGCTTGTCAGTGGTCTCGCTAAGAGGTAGAGAAACAGAGAGAAAAGGCAAACTTAATTTCCTTGATACAAGTAGCACTCTGCAGATCCCACACAAACACTCCCTCCGAACCAGAAGATACAATGAGATCCTGGGTAGGGTGGTAAAGTAAAGCGCGAACCGTATGATGATGGCCGGTCAAGATCATCTTTTGAACGAAATGAGAGGAGGCTTTATCAATCTCGCAAATGATCAGACCATGAGTAGCATTGACATAGCACAGCCTAGAATTTAAAGATGAAGGCAAAGAATACTGATTTCCATCGGGAGACCAGCAAACTGGAGATCTCTCCTGAACTCCAATTTGACCGATAGGCTATTGATTACAAACGAAAATAGCGTCTACTTTCTCACACCTGTGAATACCAGCCTGAGGTGAATTCTGAACCTCTTCTTGCTGTTTCAACTATCGATTATTCGCCCCCATTCAAATAAAAACCTTGAAAGATTTCTCATTAAATTCTGCCATTTTCAAAATTTAGTGAACCAGTAATGGAGATAACTAAATTACAAGGTGAGTATAACCCAATTATAAAATATAAACACCTACTAGTATTAATATTCTATACAATACAACCAAATACAAGATTCGCTTTGAAACGAATGTATACAATGAAACTGCCTGTGAGTAGGCACTCCGAAATCAGGGACTCTCTGCGGGACGACGCGCGTCAGTACAGTGTGGGTGCGTCTTGATCATCATGAAGGCAAATGACGTAACAGTACGAACGAGTCCCTCATACATATTTTAGAACTTGATTAGAATGCCTCGTAGACTCTTCATTGGTGGAAACTGGAAATGCGTAGGCAGAGAGAGGGGAATTCTTAGCTCTAGAACGGAACTGTGTCGTCCCTGACTGAGCTTATCAACGCCTTCAATGCTGCTGGCGATCTCAAGACGGACCGTGATATTGTGATTGCCCCTACTGCCCTGCACATCTCCCTCGCCAAGAACCTCCTGAGAAAGGAGATTGAGGTTTCTGCTCAGAACATCTGGAAGGTGAACGTAGGAAAGCGCACGCCTTTCGTAATTGATAGGGTTATGGTGCCTTCACCGGTGAGCTTTCTGCTCCCATGCTCAAGGGTTTGTTTCTTATCTTGTCTTGATGCATAGACTTCGGTGTGAACTGGACTCTCCTGGGTCACAGCGAGCGCCGCCACACCGTGGCTGCTGAGTCGGACGAGCTGATTGCTGAGAAGACCAAGATCGCCCTTGCTAACGGCGTGAAGGTGATTCTCTGCATCGGTGAGCTGCTCGAGGACAGAGAGAGCGGCAAGACCATGGATGTGTGCAAGGCTCAGCTGCAGGCGGTCGTGGATGTTCTGGAGGAGAAGGACTGGGAGAACATCGTGATTGCCTACGAGCCTGTGTGGGCTATTGGCACTGGAAAGACTGCCACCCCCGATGTGGCTGAGGAGACCCACGCTCAGATTCGTGCTTACATGGCTTCGGCTGTGAGCCCTGCTGTGGCTGAGAACGTGCGCATTATCTACGGAGGATCCGTTTCTACCAAGAACTGCGCTGATCTCATCAAGAAGGAGGATATCGATGGATTCCTGGTGGGTGGAGCTTCTCTGAAGCCCGATTTCGTGCAGATCATTAACTGCTAAGCATTGATTTGTTTGATGGAACAAGCAAGGCAATCTGGGAGAACACGCTCTCAACTAAAACAAAAAAAATAAACTGGGCTGATTGACTAGAGAACGGGATCGTTGCGATGGGATTTCCAATTCTCGATTGCTTTCACAGGGATTTTGATGTGGCGATTCTAATCAAAACGAGTTGAAGTAACCTATACTTGCTGCTGAAACTGAATGGATGGGAACAATTCCATCTCGAGGAAGCGACGAAGAATAGGGTCATTTTCCACCGTCTGCACGATCAGTCGCTTTTTCGAGTTCTTCTTCTTTTCCTTCTTCTTTTCCTTCTTCTTTTCCTTCTTCTTTTCCTTTTCCTTTTCCTTTTCCTTTTCCTTTTCCTTTTCCTTTTCCTTTTCCTTTTCCTTTTCCTTTTCCTTTTCCTTCTCCTTTTCCTTCTGTCCCGCAATGCTCTCCAACACACCAAACAACCGCAATCGACGGTGCGTATCATGGTACTTCTCAAGAGAAACGACTACATGTCACGTTCTAACCAGCATCCTTACAATAGTCCCCCTTTTCATTCACCACCACTTGCGATTCGTTCTTCGCTCGACTAAATGCCTCCAATATCTCGCTCCCCTTTAAGTACTGAGGTAATCGCGACTGAGCCAGCAGCTGCAACTGTCTATCTCTCAGGTCCCATCCCGATTCTCACTGCTGATCTGTCGGAATAATTCCATTCTCGCGCAGAATTCCGATCTTTCGGTTATAATCCAGCTTCCAGAAATCGCCCTTTTCGTATATCTACTTGGAAGCAATCGATTCTGTTCAATACCTCTGATACCATAAACACCACGGGACGAACCATTCGCATTTCTCGTTTCTGCATCAGGTCGAATATCTCTAGCACAGATTGATACTCCTTCAACTGATAGGCAGCTTTCAGCGCAGTGTGGACACTGGTAGGCTTCCCAAGCAGCTGGCCGGACGAATCCATTTCAATTAACCCTTTGAAGAAATGGAGACACTCGTAGTAGTAGTGCCCACTATACAATCCTTGCAAAATGTGACAATTCGCAGCAGAAATGGAGTACTGCTCTCGTTGTAATCGATCCAGATACGGACGAGCATCCGTCATACGACGATCTGCCAATAGACAATGACAGTACGGACCTTCCATTCAAAAGAGGAAGCATAAGGTACCTAGAATACTCCAGTGACTACGGAGATTGTGATCTACCAGATTCCACATCAGATCCAGTAGATCGTACTGCTTTGAACCGATTATAGACTCCATGGCCATCTCACATGTATGCGCCGTTAGACGGATAGAAGGCTGCAATAAGAAAAAAAGAAGAAAAGTACAAAGCGAGCCGCTATGATTCGAACAAAATGGATCAACTGCTTGTAATAGTTTATTCGATACAGACTTCGCGTTGCAATCTCCACTTGCTACCGTTTCAAACGAAATCGGTCAACCTACCTCGGGAACAATATCTCTTCTTCCAGATAGAGCCAAACATATATTGTCAATCTAATGATAATGATTTCTAGCGAAATCTACATCAGGAATGGAAATGTCCCTCTCTCTCAACAGGGAACAAAGTTCACATGTAGTGTATTTCTGCGGATCCACTTGAATCAATGAGTAGTCGGTGGTTGCAGAAATCGTCTGGAACGTGTTATTACTCCGCTTTTTCACTGTAGAAAACGAAGCTCTAGCCAAATAGAGTGAACGAAAGGTGAACGAAAAAACCGAAGGAGATCGCCAAGCTCTACAGCTTATTGGAAGACATCGAATGCAATTCTGAGTCTTTGAAACAAGACCCCGAGAAAGCATGCAATCCACTCAGAATTGTAAACGAATTGTCCCAACAAACATTCCTTCATTGAAACTAAATTACAAAACCTTCGATTTATATATTGATATATAGAGTATATATGGTAGATTCCTTACAACTGGCAGTGGTCATTCGTGCAGAAGGACACAGCATCGGGGAACATCTGTCCCACTCCCTGTTCCTCCTCCTCCTCCTCTCCCTCATTTTCATTCTCCTGCGCGAACAACACTCTTCTCGCCGAGCTCTTCTTGCTCGGAAGAATCATGAACTTGTTCTTCTGCGTCAGCTTGATCGGGGAGAACTGCGTGGGCTTCGCCTTGACGACGGCGGGCTTGCTGCGATCCACGAACTCGATGGGCTTCAAATCGCGCGTCATTTCGTTGTAGACCTCCTCGGAGATGGCCTCGTAGGGCAGCTGGGGATACTTGGAGTAGTCCTGCTTGGGGAACATGGACACTCCCTTCAGCTGGTACTGGAAGTACTGCAGCATCTGCGCGATGTGCGGTCCCTCGCTCTCCGGGTCGAACGTCACCGTGCACGACACCTGGTTATCCGCCCAGTACCGCTGCAGGAACGCCGCCAGCGACAGCTGCTCGAACATCGACACCTCGCTCTGCACGCGCACGTTCGCGGGCAGCTTCACCGGCACCTCCACCACCACCGTCGTCTCTTCCTGCCCGATCGCCGGCACCACGCTGTACCCCGCGCGCCGCAGCGGCGCCACCAGCGGGTCGTTCTTCCCCATGCGCATGCGCCGGATGTAGATCCGGCTCTCCGGGAAGTGCATGCCCGGCGTGGAGCCCGCCAGCAGCGACACCGTCCCCGACGGCTTCACCGAGGTCGTCTTGATCGACCGCGGGATGCAGAACCAGTTGCTGTACACCTCGTCCCAGTGCTGCACCGTCGCGTAGCCCTCGTCCAGCCACTGCCGCAGCTCCTCCAGGCTGTGCTTCCCCAGGAAGTCCGCCACGCCGCTCACCGAGCACCCGATCCGCCGGTTCCGCAGCATCACGCGGTTCGTCTCCGGCCAGTGCGTCATGCGCAGCGTCACCGTCTTCGCGTACAGGTACGCGAACTTCAGCGTCCGCAGGTACTCCTCCTTCGTCGCGTGCCGCGCGGGGAACGTCTCCACCAGGCAGCACAGCTCGTATGACTCCAGCGACTGCTCCAGGCACGGGTTCCCGCCCTTCACGCGCCAGTCCTTGTTGTTCGGACCGTCCGCCATGCGCCCGAACCGCTGCATGTTCTCCAGCCACGCCAGACCCGGCTCGCCGTTCACGCGCAGACGGCTCGCCACCTCCGAGTAGTCCATTCCCACACGCGCGAACACCGAGTTGTTCGACGACCAGCCGTACGCCATGCGCTCCGGATGCTTCGAGTAGTCCTTCAGGTCCAAAAACGTCTCGTCGTCCGCCTCGCCGAACGCGATCTCCGCCGAGCGACGCACATTCCCGGAGACCACGCACTTCCCGATCAGATTGAACAGATCCACGATCCCCGTCGTGTCCAAGCGCGAACCAATCCGCTTGTTCAGCACCTCGCGGATGCTGCAGTGCAGCTCGCGCAGAGGACGCGGACCGCTGCTCACTCCGCCGAACGTCTTCAACGGCTCGCCCTCGGGACGAATCACCGAGTAGTCGAACTCCACGTCCGGCTGCTGAACTCCGTTCACGCCAAAGTACGCCTTCAGCAGCAACGACACGGAGCTCACCCATCCTTCGCGCGAATCATCGATCACATAGGTGAACTTCTCTCCCTCCTTCGGACCCAGCACCGGCAGCGTGTCGCGTCCCTTCGTATCGAAACCCACACCCACTCCCAGCATCGACGCATCCATCAAAAACTCGAAGGGACGCGTTGGGTTGTTCACAATATCCTCCGTAGACACGAAGGCACAGTTGTTCAAAGCAGCAGACAGATTCTTCTTGTGGACGATCGCAGTACCCATAGCCCACAAACCACGACCAGGAGGCAGGAATTTCATATTGAACATCAAATCGTACATCTCTTGAGCCGATCGTTGACCATGCTCATCATCCCAACCCAGGTGGAAAGCTTGAATGTGTTCCTTCTGCAATGAATAGGTTCCTTCCACTACACGACGGACAGTCTGCCACCAGTCTTCGTTGGTTCCATCCTCCAGTTTTCTAGAGTAGGTACGACGATACACCATTTCACCCAGAGGCGCATATCCAAAAGGAGGCTGAATCGTCTTATATTTATCCAGAAACTCTTCGTCCAATTTGAAACAGAGATTACAATTCATGTTCCGAGGATATCTAAATAACGTGAGATACAACTTCACATTGTCTCCCAAAGGATCCTACCTTATGTGGAAATATTTTTTGAATGCAATTTGAAATATCGCGCCAGAAAAAGGGAGGCAAATGGCGGGAATCAGAAAGAAGAACCCGCGAATTTTAATATAGAAACTAATAATCGGAAACCGCCTCGAGTTTTGGGATGGCGGTATTTCTCAAAATACAAGGAGTTTATCAACAAACAGAGATGCTAAATAACCTTTACTGTTTCTCTAATTCTTTGATCATAGCGAGATGCTTCTGCTCCCATTTCTTGATTCCTCCAAGAATATAATCCTGCTGCATTTTTCGAAATTTGTCATAGTTCTCCTTGTCGGCTTCCAGGTCCACTTCACGGAGTTCATCTTGAATTGTGTGTAGAATTTGCTTAAACGACATATTAGTCGGGCTCATTTCCGTTTTTCTTCCATTAACTAACGAGTCAATAAGGCTTCGAACCAACTTACAGTACTCAATCGAGATTTTCGGATACACGAGCTCATTATCCACTTCCACAGTCACAGTTGCTTTGGGGTTACTTGCTTTCACCTACATCAAATACTATGGATACAAATACCTTTCTTCCAGTAATTTGTGCTGCAAACTCCCTATGAATAACAATTATCATAATATAATCCACCTTGTTCCTGTAGCACCTTCCGATAAACCACCATAGGCAATGTAAATCGACTTTACCTTTTCTAAATTAAGAATAGGCTGACTCTACTCATAACGATCGACATGCCATTGACTACAATCTTATTGTAAAAGGATCTCGAGAAGACTCTAGAGCTCACTTGGGAGAATGATCCCTACAGCTTTCCAGTTCCGAAGGCAGAACATGCAAACACTCCCGCTCTCTGCAGCATATCGAATGTGAAAATGACCAGAAAA